AGTTCTGTGGCGTCAGAGTCCTGATAACATTTGTAAGAACCTTGATTTCCCAATAAATAAAGACAAGGGGTTTTCCAGCATTATTTCCCCTTTCGTGTTTGTCTTGGTCACCTCACCCCCAGGCCAGATTCCTCATGGGCCTCCATCAGGGGAAATCAGCTCTCTGCTTCAGTGAGTGGTGCAGTGTTTAGTCCTTAGGGTGTTAGGGATGTCCTGTCCCAGCAGATAACTCTTCGCACAGCTGCCCCATGGGCTGAGCATGTGGAAGTAGTTATTTGCTGTGTGGCTGAGTCTTGCTGGATGAGAAGTCGTGGGCTCCCGACTGACTCTACCATGCAGAGCCTTGCTCTTTGCCCTTTAAGGGAAAGTAGCGCTAGGGTGAACTTCACTGCGTCCCAACTCAGATAATCTGTTAACACAAGCTTTTCTCCACAGTGGGTATTGATCCTTCCCTGTGCTAGATGCCCACAAGTATGGAGGAGGGACTGTCTCCTGCTGGAATGGAACTTTTTACCCAGTCCCTTCCTCCCATTCTGACCTGATAACCAGCTGATTATCCTATATGTGTTTTTAAAAGGAGTGGATAGGTGAGAACAGAGGTATGGATTTTTAAGTTATGAAAATGCTGGTGCCCATGGATAGGCAGTGTGACCCCTCCTTTCCCCCAGCAGGGACCAGGCACCTCACTGGCCTGCAGTGCTGCAGCACTCAGTATTGGGCAGTCAGCTCCTGCTGTAAGAGCCAGAGCCCCGTGAGCCTTCCTGGCCAGTACTGGAAAGGGCAATGCTATTTATTTTCATATTATGTATATTTTGTTGTGGTTTGCTGATTCCCTGTTTCACTGAGAGCAACACTTAACCTCAACAATTAGTTCAATATTGTATATTGGATAATTTGTTAAAAGAACTTTTTAAAAAGCTTTTTAGCCTTGGAGGTCTATAGATTTATTTCCATATGAACTGGTTATTTAGTACAAAGTACATTCTTCAAGTAAAAAAGAAACTAGGGCAGTGATGGCCAGGCTTTTAGGGATGAGCATCCAAACTGCTACCCAAAACCCACTTATTTATTGCAAAGTGCCAACACTGCAATTAAACTGGATTACTGAGGTTTTAACTTAGAAAAACAACTCATACATTAACATCTTTTGTCTTAAAAGAAAAATAACACATGCCACAGTTTCAGCACCACTGACCCAGGACCTTCACACTGAACTACAAGGCCAGCCCTTCCTTTTTTTATTCTGAGTCAGGGTCTCACTAAGGCCCTACATCGCTCAGTCTGGGCCCAAACTCGCAATCCTCCTGCCTCATACTCCCAGACTGGTGAGATTACAGGTGTGCACCACCATGCCCAGTTTATGATCAGTTTTTATCTAAGCAACCAAACTCATGTATGAAGCTATGCACAATGGTTTCCTTTAAAACTTTCAATTATATTACTAAATTATGCCTTTGACCACACAATATTAGCAAACCTCACTCATGAATTCTGGTGCCTGGATAACAAATGTACATTTTATAACAATGAAGGGACTATGTGCAGTTCTGTATCAGTAGAGTATAAAATATGAACAATGAAAATGTTTAGTATGCAACAATTTTTTTAAAAAATCAGTCATTATCCTTATAGGAAAAAAATTTTAACTAGGGTGCTAAAAGGCTCCCAAAGCAGTCAGGGTAAAAGAGGGGTGGGGAGGAGGGAGGAGGCGGCAAGGAGCATTTTCACAGCAGCCCATCACTATAATCCCAGACTCAGGAGGGCAAGGAATAAGGGTCACAGGTCCATGGCCAGCCTTGGCAACTCAGTGCAGTGCTGCACCCAAACCAGGACTGGGGACTGTATGGATTCAATCCCCAATATTGCAACAAAACAAAACAAAAACCAGGCCAAGAAATATGAGTTTAAAGCCAGATTAACATTAAGGTTGCCCTATTTTTAAAAAAAAGCTTGGTGTAAGACATCTGAAAGAAATTTCTAAACGTAGAATTCTCGCTCTCTCTTTTTTTTTTTTTTTGAGGGGAGTAGAATTGAGGATTAAACCAAGCACTTGGCACATGCTAAACAAGTACTCTACCACTGAGATACATTCCCAGCCTCACCTATCTATCCATAGACAGGGTTTTGCTGAGTTGCCCACACTGGCCTCAAACTTGCAGTCTTCCTGCCTTGGCCTCCACAGCCAGTGGGATTACAGACACATGCCACCACCTCTTTAATTTCATTGTAATTAATTTAAACATCTATGTCTAGGCTGCCATATTGGGCAGCACAGCTTTCAATTACCTATTTTATATGGTAGCTCTTAATAAAAATGAATAAGAATTAAAATTTTAAATTAATGGAGAAACTAAAATGAGGCTCCAATGTCAGCTACTCCTTAAGGAATTAACCGAGTGTAAACACAAGATGTTCAATTCTGACCCCTGCAGTTTGAAGGAAGCAAAGAAAGAAAATTCAAAACTACACTTCCAAGAATATATTCCGAAACTACCATTCACCCCCAAAGCAATAACTATAGGGGGAGCCCAGTCTGGCAGTCAGCAGATGAGGACAGGGGTCTACACTGGTGCCTAGTTCTGTTGTTCTATGAGCAGCAACAGAAGCTCCAAAATGATTTGGAGACGTTAGTGTATGAGCTACTGGTAGCAACACGAACACGTAGAACTCTTCTGGCCAAGCACAGGGCTGCAATGTTATTACTACAACCTCAGTAAAATGCGTTTAAATCTGGGGCTCATTTTCTCCTTATCGACAGTCACGTGCTACCTAACAACATTTGGCTCAACAAGGGACTGTATGTGTGGCAACGGTCCTTACAGGGTCATATCTCAGAGATTACACCACCGCCAAATGACAGCATAGCTGTCTTTGTGAGTACACGTTACTCGGTTTACACAGCATTGAAATCAAGAAGCAACATATTTCTCAAAACATATCCCCATTAGAGCAACACATGGCCATAGTTGATTGTAAAAGCAATTTATACTAGTGTCACAGGAGACTGGCCATTTATGCAACTTTAACACCTCATTAATAGTTTTTTAACAAGTCAATACTTAAGAAACCACGTGTTTTCCAGATGAGCTTCTGGTGAAGTGAAAGAAAAACTAATGTTTAAAAATGACAAAACAATCAGCATTTAAGATGCACGAATTCCAACTACATGGCAACAAAACTAAGCTTTATAGGTTAGGTACAAACTACTCACCAGCAATCTACCACAGGATTAAGAATACCTATTTCAGCCAGAGATTTAGCTCCGTGTTTCCTCCACCTGCCTCACAAGCATAAGGTCCTGGGTTTGATCTCCGGTACAAAAAAAAAAATACCTATTGCATAAAAGCCCAACCAAAATCATTTTTTTTTCTTCTTTTCTCTCCCTCCTTCTTTCTTTTTTCTTTCTAGTGAGCTCCTCTAACCAAGACCAACAGCTTCAATATATTTGACTGGAAAGTAAACACTTTGAAAAGCAGCAAATAATACATACCCACAATTCTATGACTGAGTAGTCGTTCGTTCCAAAGATAAATAATAAATCATTTACATATTCCATTTATTTCACTCAAAGGGAAATAAAAATATGTTTGTAAACTTTTTTTAAGACTCTATTTCTACAGATTTTAATCCTGGACATCTTTTATCCTTTAACAATTCTAACAGAAAGTTGCTAGTAAAAATCAACATTAATGATCCTACAAATTTCTAAGAACCATCTGTTGGTCTCCTAACCAAATTAGGGGAAAAAAGAAAACAATAACTCAACTACCCTTCACTAAAAGAACAGTCAATTTCAAAGAATAAAAACAAAAACAACTACAAAATAAATATAGCCCAAAACACACTACTAATTATATCCCTTACCTCCCTCTGGTAGTAAACACTATCAAGTTAAACACAAATACACACATACCACTAGAGAAATCTCTCTTCTACAAGGCTACAGAGGAGGGCATAAGAATCCCCTGTGTGGACCGGCAGAACAGCTCAGGGCAAAGTGCCTGCTGAGCTTGCTCAAAACCCTAGGTTTAAATCCCAGCACCAAAGAGAAAGACAAAGGCTAAGTAAGACACACTTAACGATGGTATAATTTACCTGGACATTTTGTCAGTATCCTCAAACATATACTTTGCCAAATATTACCATCTAATGTGCTCAACTGCTATGTTTACTTTGTTAAGCAAAAGCAGGCTGCAAGATGCTACAATATGTCAATCAGTATCTCTGTATCCTGGAGATATGGAGAACATTTGAAAGCATTTGTTTTCGTATGACTTCATAAGATGAAAAGACTTCGTAAGACTAAAGAGCCTACTTAAGAACCTACTAAAGAACTTTTGGCATTTTTTTTTTCCTCTTGTAAGAACTTTTGGCCCGGGATTTAGCTCAGTGGTTCCGCCTCCTGCCTCGCAAGCACAAGAGCCCAAATTCGATCCCCAGTACCAAAAAAAAAAAAAAAAAAAAAAAAATTTTTGGCACTTCTTAATACAGATCCATATACTTTATAATACTTAGAATATGTGTTTTGTCTTACCTGTTTTGTTGACTTTTTTGTGCCATTAAAAATTTTCCAAGCTAGACCATTGCCACCACTGGCGATGTGCCGACCAACATCGAATTCCCGAGTGACAGGATTTCCCATGACAGCACTGGTGACATCGGCTGTTACTTTTGTAACAGTGCTCTTCAATTTATTAAGCATGGACTCCATGGCTACAGTACTGGGTACTCAATCACCTAGAAACAGCAGAACATGAGAGGACCGATCACTTTTTGTCTAAACACTCAAAAAACTTAATATCCACCAATGAGCAAAACAATGCCATACAGATAAAGTCATATGTTACCTTTGTTTTTAAAGAACTCAATACAATTGAGTACAAATTTAAGTCTAGAACCAAACTCTTCCTCTCAACCTCAGTTCTCAGAGCCCAGATACCAGAATTCACACTTGACACTGACATGGAGGAGGAGAAGGAACGCCACTGAATTTACGTAACATGGATCTGGTAAGATTTAAAACGAATGAATGTTCACACTTAAAAACTAAAAAGAGCCAGGCATGGTGGCACACACCTGTAATCCCAGCACTTGGGAGGCTGAGGCAGGAGGACCGCTGTGAGTTAGAGACCAGCCTGGGCTACACAGTGAGTTCCAGGGAAGTCTCAACTACATAGTGAGACTCTGTCTCAAAAAACCAATCAATCAATAAATAAATAAAAAATAAAAGAATAAAAAGATCCAATGCTATACTAAGCAATAAATTCTTCTTATAAAGTTTATTTGCTATTAAAATCACAGTACTGAGCTGTGAATTCATTTGAGAACATTTTCTAAAAGAAAAGCATGCTGGTTCAGTAGCATACATCTGTCCTCCAGTTACTTGGAAGGCTGAGAGGCAGGAGGGTCACTTGAACCTGAGAGTTCAAGACCAGAATGAACCACATAGTAATCTGTAATCCTTCTGCCTCAGCCTTTCAGAGGGCTGGGGTTAGTTCTTTGCCTCCAGGCCTGGCATGAACTCACCTTCTTAAGCAACTAGAAAACTGGACAAAATAAATGAAACAAATGCTTCCAGACAGGTAGTGAGGGTCCGTGATCCCAGAGGAAAAAAAACTAAAGAGGTGAACCCTTCGCTCGCCCCAGCTTCTGTCTGGAGGCACATTTCATACCACAGCAAAGCGCAGACTCCAACCACTCATTCAGCTAAAAGGAATGAAGGGACAAACGCTGAAATGCTGAGGTGGCTGAAGTTCCGGGACAGAATTTCCAAGGGAAGGAACGCGACGCATGAGGAAGGAAACACAGGCTTCCCTTCGGGCTTGGCTGGATGCTAAGCTGCACACAAGTGCTGTGAGACTCACCAGAGCAAGCCAAAGATCAGCGAGAGAACTGTGAGCTAAATGGCTTCAGAGTTCACAGGAGGCTGCAAATAATTCAACAGCTTCTCAGCCAGGGTGCGAAGTCCTAACTGACAGAAGGCGTTTAGCAGAACACGAGACAGACCATGCCTCGGTATCAGGACAAAGCTGCACTGCTGGGGCCGTGGTGCCTGTCCGTCGTCCTGGCTACTCTGGAGCTGAGACAGGACAGATACCTGAGCCCACCTAGGAGTTGGAGACCAGCCTGGGCAAGCAAAACCCCATCTGTAAAGTAAATGAATGGATGAATGATAAAAATGCTCTAACAATCCTCAAATGCCAAATTAATCCTAAATTATGAAACTGCCTCCCAGAACATAACCCAACACTAGTGAAAGGAAGACAGACACAAAATCAGGTATTAAATAACATAACATCCACAATGTTTAGCATGCAATCAATGCTTATCAGACATGACAAGAAAAAAGAACATACGACTTATCCAGTAAAAACATCATTCAATAAAAACAGACTCCAAAATGGTAATTACAGAATTAGGAAAGAAACGAAAAGGCTACCACACAAAATAATTAAAGGAAAACACAAACACAATGAAAGAAAATGGAAAGAAGACCCAAACAAAACTTCAGACATGAAAAACAAAATATCTCCAACTCAGGATGAGATGAAGAGATTACACATTTTTAAGAAGAAAGAAACTTGAAGATGGGGTAAAAAAGTAAGACAAGATAAACAAAACCTTGGTGACCTATAGGACACTATCACACATCTAACATTTATAAATAGATCCCCAAAATGAGGTGGAAATATTCTTTTTAAATAATGGCCAAGGCCGGGTGTGGTGGCATATGCCTGAAATCCCAGCACTTGGGAGGCTGAGGCAGGAGGATCACTGACTTAGAGACCAGCCTGGGCTACATAGTGAGTTCCAGATCAGTCTCAACTACATAGTAAGACCCTGTCTCAAAAAATCAAAAAAAAAAAAAAAAAAAAAAAAAAAAAACCCCACATTAAATAATGGCCAAGTTTTCCAAATTTCACGAAAACTATAGAAAGCTCCAAGAAATTCAATAAACCACTATGAAGGATAAAGATAAAGGAATCCATCCTAGATTTATCATACTAAACAGCTGAAAATCTGTGATTAAAAGAAAACAAAAAAGTAGCCAAGGAAACATAAATTGCAGTGGACTCTCAAGTTACGACGGGCCTGACATACAAACAACTTGGGCTAATTAAGTTACTGGCAGATTCACCTGCTTCTTGTCAGCTATAGCATGTACCCAGGGAAACATCCAGATCTCAGCTGTACTGATTTAGTTACAACCAGCCCCCGGGAACCATCGAGTTTTTAAGCCCACTGCATATCTAGACCTAAAATAAGAATTTCCCTGGACTTCACATCAGAACTTATGCATATCAGAGAATAACAATGCCTGATCACTTAAGGTAGAAATAATAAAATGTACTGTTTTATAATATATGTCAAAATAAGGAAAATAATAAAACAAAGGACAACAGGAAATGGAAATGTATTTCTGAAAGATCCTTACATCATATGTGAAGTACTATTAACATCATTTGAAGGAATACTGTAATAAATTAAAGGTGTAGACTGTACACCTTAAAATAACAACTAAAGTAATGAAACATAAGAGGCCAACAGTGATGACAAAATTGAATCCTAAAGTAAACTGAATAAATACAAATAAAAGGAAAAGTAGAAGCAAAGAACAAATGTGGCAAATTGGAAATATAAATACCAAGATGGTTGACGTAAATTCATCCATATCCAAATAAGTGTACTTATTTTTACACTAATTGTTGGATTTTAAATTTCAATTAAAAGGCAGATATTACCAAACTGAATTTAAAAAGCAAGATCTACCTATATGTTGCTTTGTTTTTAGCTCAGCATGGTGTTGCACGCCTATAATCCTAGCACTCAAAAGGCTGAGGCAGGAAGATTGCCCATGAGTTTGAATCAGCCTGGGTTATACGGTGAAGTCAAGGCCAGCCTGAAATATATAGCAAGACCCTGTCTTTAAAAAAAAATAAAATAAAAACGACTTAAAAAATATATGGACACATAGCCAGGCGTGGTGGTACACACCTGTAATCCAAGCACTCAGGAGGCAGAGGCAGGAGGATACCTGTGAGTTCAAGACCAGCCTGGGCTACATAGTGAGTTCCAGGTCAGTCTCAACTACATAGTGAGGCCCTGTCTCAAAAAACAAAACAAAACAAAAAATATAAGGACACAGGCAAAGTAAGCATACCAAGCTGAAGTGGATATATTAATAACAAAACAGACTTCAAGACAAAGAGGACATCCCATAATAATAAAGATGTCAATTCATCCAGAAGACATAAAAATTCTTAATGTGTATATATTCAAGAAGAAAGCTTCGAAAATGAAAAAACGGAAATAAAGTGTTTGTAAATGGGGAGAGGAGGAGGGGGTGAAGGGAGGGCAGGGACAAGGGGAAAAAATGAGAACCAAGACCAGCTGTCATGTAAAGGTACAAGATCCCAATAATGGATGTAACTGTACTGTATACCTAAAATGTACCAATAAACTCAATAAAAGAAAAAGAAAGCTTCAAAACACGTGCAGCATAAATGACAGAATTGGAAAAAGTTTCTACAATTCTATTTAAATGGAGACTTCAACAGCACTATTAAGTCTTGTTTAGGTCCCAGAGATCTGTGACAGTGCTTACTGCACCTGATAAACTCCAAGGTCTTAATTAAATCATGCAGAATCACAATATAAAATCTAGAAAACTAATCCTTGGCAACTATTTAAGCTCTTGACAAAAAACTTCAGCTTCCATTAACAAAAAAAAAAGAACATGCATTTCAGAACTATCAGATACACAAGCAAAAATATGTGAAGATCACTGCAGTAAGGTAGCACTTGTCTGTATCCTGTTTTCTCCACTAATTACATTCATGTAAAAATAACCTTTTATCTATTAAAGATCTGAATTATAAATGGCAACTGGGATTCACATTTCCTTTTTAATTTAATGCTGCACTTTGGTAAGTAGTTAGAAACTGGCATTATGTAAACATTTATTTGCCACACCAACGTGTTCTCTAGGAACACCTGCTACTGTATTTGAAGGTCTCTTGTCCTCTAACTCTGTCTGACACACCACAGGTCAGGCACCTCGTCATGTACTGGGACTACAGATGTTCAAGGAGATGTTTTTGCTCTTTAGGGATTCGGTCCAGTGGCAAACTCAGACTGGTAGAGTTACAACAATTAACTAGAGACAAGAAAGTATGATGCTAGGGGCACATTAAGATGAACTCAAAAATATGTGTTTTTTAGGTAGGCAAACAAGGAAAGGAGTAAATGGAATGAAGGATTATTATGTGCCAAGATACGGAAGAAAGATTTTGTTTTTGTTTTTGTTTTGGTACCGGGGATCGAACTCAGGACCTTATGCTTACGAGGCAGGCAGCAGCACCACTGAGCTAAATTCCCCGCCCTGAAGAAAGATTATGGTGTGATCCAAAAACTACAAAGGCCAGGGCTGGGGATTTAGCTCAGTGGTGCCGCCATCTGCCTTGCAAGGGCAAGGATCCGAGTTCAATCTCCAGTACCAAATAAATAAAACAAAACTACAAAGGCCTCATTGTGAAAACAACAGATATTTTCAGAACAGATATTGAAATGTGAGATGTTTATCTATCATCTAAAGAGTCAACAAAAGGAGCAGACATGGAAACTCACTGGATGGTTTAATTTTTATTGAATACCCATCACGTACCTCAAACCATGTACAGGTACTGTACATTAGAAGCTGAGGAGGAAGCAAAGGAAAATCAAGCTATGAAGGATCTACCTGAAGAAGGGAAGAGGCAGATACATAAAACCACCACAGTACCAGTCTAAAGATAAAATGCTACAAAATATGCAATGTACCTCACGTTACAGAAGCAAACAGAGCCAGACCAGAATTCTGTTCCCAAACAGCAATGTCAGAGATACTCTGAAACGTGAGTAGGCATGAACTAGACAGAAAATGGGAGAAATGTAGGAGTAAAAACAAAACCATTCAGATAACAGCTGAAGGAAAAGAAAGCACGGCACAGGAGACTAGAAAAGCCAGCTCACCAAAGGCAATGTGTAGTAAGAGATCAAGCTAGGAGAAGTCACAGAAAGGTTTCAGGCATGAGTAAGATAATTAGTGACACTGTGGAGCGGAGAGAAAGATACACAGCACTAGGGTGGGGCTGGGGAATACGGTCAGACTGAGAACTTCAGTGTGCACACAGGTGTGATATATATGTAGCTTAGAGTAAAGCAAAAATGAATAAAGGAAAAGATACGTGCAAATATAGACAAGAAAGACGGGTAAAAGCTGGTGGGTCAAGGGGCTATTTCAAAGGATATTTATAAAATTTTAAAAGAGAAAGAAGTTGCTGGGCCGGGGATTTAGCTTAGTGGTTCTGCCACCCGCCTCACAAGTGGAAGGCCCCGAGTTCAATCCCCAGTACCAAAAAAAAAAAAAAAAAAAAAAAAAAAAAGACAGAGAGAAAGTAGTTGCTGAATTAAAGAAACAGTGAGAAAGGAGAAGAAAAATAACATATAACACAGAACTAAGACAGTTATGAATGACAGAAAGGAAAGAAACACAACTAGAAGCCAGGCGGGGTGGTGCATGCCTGTAATCCCAGCACTCGGGAAGCTGAGGCAGGAGGATCACTGTGAGACCAGCCTGGGCTACATAGTGAGTTCCTGGTCAGTCTCAACTACATAGTGAGACCCTGTTTCAAAAAAAACAAACTAGAAATCTCACTCCCACCCCACCTCCAATTTCAGAGTCTGGAAGAAAGGCAGCCATAGGCCAAGGCAGGAGATATAGGAGACAAGTGTTTTGTGGAAGGAAGAACTCAATTTCAGATATGCAGAATTTGAGTTGCCTGAATGACACGCAAAATAAAAAATAACAAAAAGCCTGGGGATGTAGCTCAGCATAAAGGCTCTGGGATCAATCCCCATTGCTGCAATTAAGAGAGGGGAGGATTTTGTGCCCATACTCCTATATATAGCACTTATCTATTCATATCTAAAGAAAGAGGATCTTAAGATATATTCTTGCAATATACGTTTCTGCTGTGTGAGTACTCAGAGATTACTAGGTTTTTTTAAAGAAAAATATTTAATTATTTAAACCATTCTTTGATGTAAAACAGAATCCTGTTTAATCTTACTAGAACAGAGACTATACCAGCTGTTCTCTTTTTACAACTACAGAAACTATCTAATTATTACCGGGTATGCCAGAAAGGATTACTTACAGGAGATAAGGCTAAGTTAAAAAATAAATACATGCATGATGGCTACAACAAATTATTACATACCTACTAAAGGTGAAAAGCACCATGAGAAAGGAAACTTTCAGAGTTAGTCACTGGTTACAAACTTAAAACCACTGTACAGTAAGATTTAAAAAGCAACATGAGAAACTGTAAAGCAACATGTACTTAAGTATCAAATAAAATGGTAACTTGAGCCAGACATAATGTCACAAGACTGTAAACCCAGCAATGAGGCTAAGGCAGGACACCATTCAAGGCCATCTTGGACTACATAGAAGGTTCAAGGGCAAACTGGACTACACGAGACCTTCTCTCAAAGGAAAAAATAAAGTGGGGCATGGTGGTACACACCTTGTAATTCCAGCACTTGGGAGACCGAGGCAGGAGGATCGCTGCAAATTTGAGGCCAGCTTCTGCTACATAGCAAGTTCAAGGCCAACCTGAAGTACATAGTGAAACCCTGTTTCAAAAAAATTTTTTTGAAAGAGTTGACAGGTAACACCCAAATTTTCTTTTGTTTTCAATACTGGGGATTGAACCCAGGGACCTCACAGTAAGCTACATCCCCTGCCCTTTTTTATTTTGAGGTAGCATCTTGCTAAGTCACTCAGTTGGCCAGGATGCCCTCAAACCTGTGATCCTTCTGCCTCAGCCTTTCCAGAGTGCTGGAATATCAGGAATGCGCCACCATATCCAGTTTGCACCCTAATTTTCTGAAGGCACTTCAACTCCAAAACTCCGAAATGTGAAATAAAGTGGAATACAATGTGAAAACAAAGTGAAGTAATGTCTAAAAAAGATACAGGATTTCAAACTCTGGTGAATATCTGTAGAACTTGTTCAGCCATAGACACATCTGCCTATATCTCAAACCTGAACATTTGGAATCAATAAAGTTGTGTCAGGCCATCTGTAGCTTGAGCTGGATGTCTCTAACTCACAGCATAGTGTGAGAATTAAGTGTTGCGCAGTTAAGTATGTGACCTTCAGTACCAAGGAAACCTGAGTTCGAGGGGCAATTTTTGTATCGGGCAGAGCTGTCTCCCGAAACAACCTCCTTTATAGTATTTATAATTATAGAAAGGAGGGAAGGCCACCCAATCTAGCCACTGTTGCGAGGATTAATGATGATGCACACAGAATAGAATGATCATTACAGTTCCTGACACATTTATTAAGTGTATAATGAATTCAAGTCATTTAACATTTATTAAGCACTCACACACATCAGGAAATAAGGAACGTCTCATTGATTTATTAAGTACTGATATGGTATCCTGAGAACCACAAGTAGACTCTATCCTAATCTGTAGTCTTCCTTGATATGAGCCGAATGATGAATAAGTTTTAACTGGATAAAAAAGAAAGGAAGAAGCTGGGTGACATGGTGCATGCCTGGTGATCCCAATACTTGGGAGGCTGAAGCAGGAGGATCACTGGGAATTCAAGGCCAGCCTGGGCTACAAAGCTACAAAGCCAGACCTTGTCTCAAAAATAAATAAATAAATAATAAAAATAAAAATAAAAGGAAAGGAAGAGCATTTTCAGGCTCTTGGAGATGATTCCCCAAAGCCATGCACCTAAAGAACAGAAAGATGGACAAGGTAACCAGAGAAGAAAAGGAAGGCCAGAGAGCACTGTGGAGATGAGGCTGGAAAGACACAGGGCCAACCATGCAGGACCTCACAGGGCATGGCAAAGAGTTCAGTTTACCCTACAATGAGAAGCCATGGAAGGATTTAAACGGAGACAATGTGATCAGATCGGCATTTTGGAAAGCCACTTGGTTTAGGAAGAAAACAGGACCACAGTAGATGTAGGGGAGCGACATCCAAGAGGCTGATAGGGCAATCTCCATGAGATGGGGTGGAGATGACAAAATTCCACAACAGACTGAGCATGAGGCATGAGAAGAACTGTGAAAGCTCCACACCTATAAAAAGTAACTCAAGAGTAAGAGGACCTATTTCCTTTGCTTGAGCTCATGAATTTCAAATGTGCATGAGATGTTATTCACAACTACAAGTTTGACTTGCACAGAAATACTCCATTGCACGGAAGTACAATGCACCTTTAGTTATTGTATTCAAGGAACTGAAGACATAAAAGGACAGGTTTCTGCACACGTGTAAATAGATCCCAAGAGAATGAAGGCCCTCATCTCCCATTAGGTTCCTTTTCTCTACACAAACCCCACTCCCAGCAAGCTTTATTTTAAAAAAATAAAGCTCCCAAGGGTCAGCGGGAATATTCAAACCGCCCCCCGCCGTTTTCAAGCCATCAGGACTAGGATGATGGACTGCTTTCGAGAATTTTTATTAAACAATGTTTAAGAACTGAGACGTGCGGAACCAGGGATTTAGCTCAGTGGTTCCAGCGCCTGCCTCAAAAGCACAAGGGCCTGAGTTCAATCCCCGGTACCAAAAAAAAAAAAAAAAAAAAAAAAAAAAAGAACTGAGACGTGCTATGTTTAAAACTTACACACAGAATATAATTTTTTAAGGGTCATCATACAAATTCTGAATTTGATGGGCAAAAAAACTTAAAAGTTACACTGGCAAAGGCGCTTTTAAGTCATTTGAGTCTATCTCGTTGATCCTGTTAGATTAGAGGCAGACTGTAACACGGGTGTTCGGATCACAGCAACGTGATTCGGCCGAATCCCAAGAAGTTTTTACAGGCTTTATCGATCGAACCCTTTTTCTCTCGCTTAGAAAAACGACAGTGCTGGAACCACCACCGATGGGACGCTGGCCCCAAAGAGACACCTGCCCCACCCACCTCACACAATAACCTTCCATCCCCCGACGACAGCTAGCGAGGGAGAGGACGCCGGGAGGGGAGGGTGCCCCGGGTGCCAGAGCCGGGACTCGAGCCGGGCGGAGCTGCCTTACCCAGTCCCGGAGCAGCGTCCAGTTTCCCCCGGGGCCGCGCTAACGCCAGTGCCTCTCCCTCCGGCAGGGACCCCGGCCCCGGGTCTCCGTCCCCCACAGGCCGCTTCGGGG